ACGAATTATTTCTGCTAAGGCCGATTTGCATTTGATGCAGAAACATGTTAGCTCAAAGGCACCAGAGGAGAGACTAGCCGGCCCCAAGACCGTATCTACAACTAATCCCTTGCACTATCTACCACTCAGGGGAGAATAATCTTTTTGAATTGATGGGTTGTTTTTAATGCTATTCTCATGATAATTTCCTGTGGCCTAGTGGTCAGTACTTGGATTGGCGACCTAAAACTTATACCGGCGCAGGCTTTTAATTTTTTTTTTGATATTTCCTGTTTTTCTTATTTGTTTTAAAGGTCCATGAATAGATATTAAATCTTTACTCTTTTTTTGTAATTTGCTTGTAATTCACCATCAATTCTTTGCCCAGTCTCCCAGCGGCAGACTAGTACCCAGTTTCCAATCCTTTTCTTTCAAGGACAATTTAATAGTGCCATTTCTTTGTTTGACGGTTGCGCMTGAGAATAGGACACTTGAATAAGACACTATTTCAGGRTTCAATAAAATTTACTGGTTAAAATGTTTTGCTTCTGTTACCCAGTTTGCGTGCGTAACGACAAATCTTCCGATCATCAAGCATTAGTCGTATACACTCAATTGAAGAATCGTTGTCGGGTTCAGAAACACAGAACATAGAAGCTGAGACCGAAATGGCACATGGGAGATGACATAATTATATTATAATTTATTCATTTGCGCCATCCATGCAATCGGTTTATAATGCCAAACGCGTATTAAAATCAGTGGATGATGCCACGGGTCGCCGGTCACAGCATGCATCTAATTAACGTACTTCCCATGTGCCATTTCGGTCTCAGCTTATATGTTCTATGTTTCTGAACCCGACAACGATTCTTCAATTGAGTGTATCAGTCGATTAAACTCAGTACCAACCCAGGATCACGGAATCAATTCAGCCAATAGGAAAGCATCAATATCTTGAAATTTTTTATAACGTTTAATAAAAATATCTTTTGCTTGGAGCAGTTTGCTTGAACGATACTGAGATATTAACCACTATAAAATAAAGATGTTATAGAAAGTATTGTTTAAGAAGAAGTATTTTGCAATAAGGCTAGCCGTTGTTGCATGGTGTACGTGCAACCTTTTTCTATAATAAATTGTTACTTACAAACCTATGAAAACGTACTAAGTACGTAGCGCTAACTAAAGAACTTTTGCACTATTTATTGWTCCTTAGATTTATTACTTTTACAAGGTTTTATTGTGCGCACTATAACAAAAGATGCGTTTGAACAGATTAAAAACGTCGTTGCTGCGCGCGCATCAGCGTAATGCTTTCCACTTTTTCGTACGAAGAGCTTCTCTGCTTCGTTTCTACCCTTCGAATGACACTTACATAGTTGAGCCTCTCCATTTGCACGTGAAAAGTGCGGCAGGAAGTGATTGCTGGCCTAACAAAATATATAAAAACGTTTTGAGAGATTTTGGAAATGACAAGACACAACATCCCAGATTACAAAGTGCATTGTTAAAAGAGATGTGTTATTCGTAAGAAACCATACCAAGTCCGTCTCAGTTTGGCTAAGAGTCGATCATCTCCTGTCGGTTTTTTCGTTGTGTGCGCATTGCAAACATAGTAGAACCTCTCTTGGAGCGATGGATCAGTATCATTTAATTTACGGTCATTAACTGCTCTAAATTGTGATATTTTCGGCTCTCCTTGGGGGTAATACTTATCTCCTAATGAGAGTTTATGTTACGAATCCACCGACCATATGCATCAAAATCGTTTTCGCATATGCCTTCTAGTCAAATTTGGGTTTTTAAAAGTAAGCCCGAAATATTGCTGGTTTTTTTTAGCTGCAAGTTGGGTGAATTTAACTAACGAAAATTTGTTCAATAGCCAAAAAGCAAATATTCATCTTATGCCGGAGGGTTTGTTATACCAAACAAACTCAACTCTCATGTCATGGTGAGTCCAGGAAGCAAACCCAAGACCCCAGAGGTGCTTTTGTAAGAATGTTTTTGATGTCAAATTATTGACAATTTCTTTTTACAAATGAAATGCTTCGAGAACATATTTTGCTCATGACTGTGCCGGATTTAGAATGTCTATTCAGAAAGCTTCAGGAAAGATTTTAAATTGGACCAAATAACGAAAAATTGATGGATAATAAACATCCTGAAGGTCTAAGAACTTGAACCCCCCAAAGCGATAATGCTAKATTCGCTTGCATACAAAAATAAAATGATTTCCCATAATATAATGGCTTGCGCAGGAAGTTT